TACTTCCTTGCCAAAAGCAGAGGATATATGCCTTATTCCTAGTTGAAGGCCAAATCCAACTTTTGGGTGCTCTGAGTCACCCTCCAGATAGTAGTTGAAACAAGGATACAAACTAAATTTGATTTCATGTTAAAATTATTTATAGACATTAAAGTAGTTGTTTCAGGTTTGAAACAATTGTTTCACATTCAAAAGGGACTGTTTTGATATTTTAAAAGTATTTTGATATTCAAACAACAGTCTCTACTTTGAAACATTATTGTACACCTAAAAATTTGCAAACAACCTTACAAACCACAAATTTATTTTTTTAATACTTTCAGGGTAATGCCTACTCAGAAATAAGAGCACTACTTCAGCTCTTTCAGGATTGTTGCTATGTTAACATTACAGATCTTTCTCCTTCTCTTTATTGCCCAATTCGGTATAGTCTAATTCAAACAGAATGATCCTTAGTTCTTTTTAACCTGATTGAGGTTAAACTTTGGCAATTATCTGCATATAATGTATCTTTATAAACTTTGCTTAAGTGGTCACTTTAGACAAAATCTTATCTCGAGGAGGGTATTTTCTTTCCAGTTTTTCCAGTAACATGTGAAACTATGGAACTCCAGGTCAAGCAACTTTTTGGTGATGGGAAAGTTGAAAGAAAGTAACAATGAGCAGGATGAGGAAACAAACTGACTAAGATCTTTCTCTGCCAAAAAGGAATCCTTGGGACCACAGATCCTTGGTTTAACATTATAATGTGCATAATCTTTGGTCTTGTCTTCCCATCTACACTCAAATGGCAAGAAACAAATTATCCTCAGGAATTTGCCTGCAGCTGTAGCCCTGATACCTTTTATCTATAGGACCATCCTATCTACATTTCTTGGAAACCTTCTCAAATATGTGATTATAGAATGATTCAAAGTATTTTTTTAATTTCCTAATTTGATTTGACTGAGTTAATCACAATGTACCCTTATGTTGTCAAAAGTCTTGTCCAGAGTTCCTAACAAAATCCTTGCTTGACAGAGAGAAGATTCCAATCCTTGGCATCTCCAGTTTAGCAAAGATCAAGTACAAAGAACCTGAATCCTGGAAATTAGTACTAGTCAGTACAGGACTAGATGGATAAATAGCCTGAGTTTTTAGCAACTTTTTAAATAAGGCGATTCAGGATATTGTCTAGAGAACTTCTAATTTAATATTTTGAAATGAGTTTTCCATTGTTCATTACTGTAGGGCAAACAAAATAAGCCAACATTAGAACATTATGCAGAACAAGGTATCCTGTTAAGCTATCTAGCACAAGAAGTTTACATATAAAATGCTACATTTTCTGTATCTTAGGTATATCTTTATTTACTTGAAGCCAGAGATATTAAAAGTGCTGTAGACTTACAGTGATTTGCACAAATTGCTCAGGAACTGTAAACGCATATATCAGAGGCACACATTTTCCAGAAAAAAACCCCAACCAAATAAGCAATTCCCAATATTTTTCAACTGATACTATGAAAGAACTTGGTCTATACTGCCTTCTGGAAAACTGTAAAGGAGGACTCCATTTAAATGTCCAGAACTAAGTTGTTCCAAAGTGTGTCCTCAAAACAATACTTTTGCCCTCTGTCTTGGAGGGGGGGAGGATATTCTTGAGATTCCCATTTAGAACAATGGAGAAGATAGATTGGTTCTATATGAAGAAGGCAGTCCTGCAGATATCTAAGCACCAAGCCACAGAACATTCCTCAGGATGAGGAATGAGTGTTTCGAATTATATTCAGAAGCCTATTGAAACCTATTGCAGAACCCTCACACAGGTGTTATGTAACACTGGCAGCTTTTGTTCATTATTAGGCAGGTTGTATCAATTGCAGCTTCTAAGTAGTTTTCAAGGACAGCCCTATACAGAGCGCACAACAATAGTCAATGCAAGAAATTATGAAAGGCATAGATTACTGATGATACCACACTCCAAACTGGTAATCGCTTTACTTAGTGGCTTCATGTTGACGTGAAATAGTAGCCCTTGGATAGCCCATAACATATTTGCATCCTTTATTCCAGGA